GCAAACGGACAACGAGGAAACCAGCAGCAGTCACACAACGCATTTCCTCCATCCTGTCCACTGCCGCTCTGGCTTATGATTTCGACCCGAAGTACAGATCTCATGCCGACCATAAACGATGAGTGCGGCACTCTCACCGAGCTAGGTTTAGGCTCTCTGATTCTCCCCCCCTCCACGCGCTTACCTTCCGAATGGCTTGCTCCGGCCCACCTTCGTTCTTCCATCTGATCGGTGAGACCCCTGAAGCCGTCAAACGGACAACGCGGGAACCAGCCCGATGCGCCCTGAGGTCATCAGGTTTTCGGCTTCACCGATCTCCAGTGGGCCACCAAGGCAGCGCTGGAACCTCCGTAAAACCCCAAGAAGCCCCGAAGACACACGCATGCAAAACCTGAAACATACCCCCAACAGGGCCCAACGACTGCCCAAGACCGCCCCGAGGTAACCGGAGACGCCCCCGACACGCAAGCTAAACACATGAACCCTTCCAAAAAGACACTTCAACCCATTTTTCGAAGCTCCCCACCTGCTTCCCTCCCAATTTTCCTTTGCACCCCCTCTTCGCTCCTGCCGCTCCCCTCTTTCCTTTCGCCTGCCAGCTCTGCCCTTCCTCATTTTCCCCACCCGCCTTCAACATCCTTGGGGGGCCCCGCCAAATCCTGAAACGGACAACCAGGGGACCAACATGGCCGCCCTGTTCTCCCCTCCTTCCTTGCTCCTGCCAGTCTCACAAATCATCCCCGCCTGCATTCCAAGGTCGATGTTCGTGGCCTTATCAGGTTGGAAAATTGCTGTATCCCACGTACATTAAGAACATCTAAAACGGGAGACCCGTTTTGAAAAAGAGCCGCCTTCGATCTTCGTAGCTTTTGGAGACATGTAAGACGCTTGTGCGCGGCACTACGGCGAGAGCCACATTTTGAAAACAGCCAGCCCTGAAACCGGCTCGCCCTCCATCCTTGTAGCCGCAGTGATCTGTAACAACGGAGACGCACAGATGTACGGCGAGAGCCACATTCTGGAAACGACAAACCCTCCATGCCCGTATATGTGTCAGGCGTTTAACCAGGCGGCCGTGCGTGTCAGTGAAGCGGGAACCACATTTGGACAACCGCCCGCCCTCCATCCTGGTAGCCGGGGGAAGTGTCAAGCTTCAGGATCATGAGCGGTGATGGAGCCTCATGCGGAACGCCAGGCCACCCCACCCGACACGTTGCGGTGGCGCGCCGTGGAGAAGTGCTCATAAGGAAGATGCTCGGATCGAGGGAGAAAGTTCGGAAGGAGGAGGAAAAGAGGCGGACACCAGACGGATTACGTGCTTGCCCAAGTGAGGCGTTCAAGAAACGGCCCCGCCTTCCAGGGTCGAACGAGTTGGCATCCCCTCCTCGGCGGAGGGCGGCGGACGGGCGGTGGACGGACGGCGAAAGCAAAGCGAGGCCGCCTCCGCCAGGGGAAGACGGCGGACGCTGGCGGAAGTCTCGGGCGGGTGGTCATGGGGGGTGACCCAAATAGGGGGTGAAGAAAAGGGCCCTGAAGCGGCCCTCTAGGGATCCTTTAGGGCGTTTTTCTTCACCCCCCATGTGGGTCACCCCTTCTTGCCACCCGCCCGAAAGTCAGAGATGTGCCCCCGAGAGATGTCAACAATTTCTGGGTTCCGGGTTTCCGGAAATCGGCGAATTTAAGCTCGAGAACGCTCTCGCGGTCGTGGCGGCGGCGGGGGTGGGGACTGGAGCAGGGGGCCCCAGGCCAACCTTCCGAGTAGGGGATCGACTGCAGAATTGAGTCACCCCAAACTTCATCTGTTCGTCGAGTTCACGAACAATTCATGTAATGCTCGTGGATCTGCGAACCTTGTACGTTTTTGTTGTACAGTCCACGAGAAAAGCAAGTTTGAGGTCAAGCCATGCTGTAGACGATCTCCCCCAGTCGAGCGTTGCGGGGGTCCTGCCCCGACCCCACTTTTGGGGACTCCAGACGTCTCCTCCTCCTCCTCCTCCTCCTCCTCCTCCTCCTCCTCCTCCTCCTCCTCCTCCTCCTCCTCCTCCTCCTCCTCCTCCTCCCCCCCCCCCTCCTCCTCCTCCGCCGTGGGGAACCGCGAGAGCACGGCCGGCCCCCTGGGCCGCGACCCCGTGGAAGCGAGGTCGGTTGGGGGAGGGTACAGTTGGGGCGCTGAAGAAGGAACCCTTTTCGCTGGGGAGGGGCTCGGTGTTCCTGGACTGCTTCAAAGTTTGCCTCGGGTTTTCCTGAGGGCTTCCATGGGAAATCGAGGCTGAACTTGTGGGAAAAAGGGGCCTCGCTCCTTATTTAGGGTTCCTTAGGTCAACGCCTCGACTGTACCCTCGTGTTCTTCGCGCTTGTTGGGTGGTGCATCCTGGGGGGAGGGCGCCCCCGAGTGTTCTTCGGCTCGGCTGGCGGAGGGCCTCGTGCTCTTGAGGGGTGCTCTTCTGTCAGAGGGGGGAGGTGCACTTGTGCAACAGCGCGCAGGATCCCAGGAGCGGGCAGGCGCGCGGCAGCGGTGCTGGTCTTTGGCAATGGCCGGTTCGAGGCCCCGAGCTGTTGGCCCTGTCCCGTGTCGGGGCCCAAGAGACGAGGGCCGGTGCAAACGGGGGTCAGCCAGGGCGCTGGATCTTGCAGGATCCTGCAGAGCCAAGGTCGCATTGGCCCAGGCTTGGGTGCAGGATCCTGCAGGATCTTGCAGGATCCGGCAAGGCCTGACGGACCAGGGTTTGGATTGACCCGGGTTGGCAGATCCCCGACCCTGGTGTGCTCTTGCACCCTCACCTGGCGGACAGTGAGTGTGTCTTGTCTGCGCTGCTCGCGGAGGTCCTTTGCCTCTTGCGTGTGGTCTTTTGCTCGTGTCTCTCGACCCTCGACCCTGTCTCTGTCGGCTGGGAGCTCTCGTTTCCATCCTGGTTGCTCCTGGAGTTCTTGACCGCGTCCCTGTCGGCAGGTGGCCTGACCCCAAGCAGCGAGGTTCCTGAGGACTGCACAGAACAAGGGGTCCGTAGCCGTCTGGTCTCAGGTGGCCCAAAGTCTTGCGCACAGGATAGGAGCGCTCCTGCAGAGCAGAGTTTGCGGCCAGACACTGCTTGGCTTTAGCAGTGGCGTTCTTGTGACCACTCTGCGGCGGTTTCTCACCCTGGCATTGGTGCCAGGAGCTGCTACCTTAAGGGCTCCCTCGAGGGCGCGAAGTTATTCGCGCTTCGCGCTTCGCGGTCCTCGTTCCTTCTCCCCCTCCTCCTCGTCCTCCTATTCTCCCTTTGGGAGGGCGGCGCGAGAGCGCGAAGTTATTCGCGCTTCGCGCAGCGCGAAGCGCGAAGTTGGGAGCCCTAGTACCTTCTCCCTCAAGTCGTTCCGGGCAGGGAGAGCAAGTGACCTGGCGACTCAGGGCGAGCCTCCTTTGGGTGCCACTTTGCCAGCTCCTGAGTGGAACTCCGCGCAGTTTCTTTTGATATGTTGGCATCGACGTAGTTGAGCACCAGGTATTGTTCGATCGAGCCTTGACTTCCGACAGTGATGTCGACGCAAGCGTTGCTGCGGCGCCTGCTTTAGAGGCATATTCTTGTTGCTGGACTCACAGCTGGAGCGGGGGGGGGGCAAGCGACCACCCCTGAGCGGAGAGCAGGGACAGATGTTGGTGTTGGATTTGTGGGCAAGAGCGCGGGGGAGTGTCAGGTTTCTGGGGCTCTTTACGAACGTTCAGACACCTCCCACGCATTATTCTGCATGTGCGTTGCTGGGGTCTTAGCTTAAGCGAGGGCAAGCAAATTTGGGAAGGGAGACGGATAATATATAGTACCCAGACCGCCCGACCCCTCGGTGAGTATCCCTGCATGTTCCGATTATGGCCGGAGCGAGCGTGCTGGCTGGTCTGTTGGCAGTTTTGCCGGACAAAGTGAGGTGTTCCGTCCGGGAGGCCTTCGGAGGCCTCTTGGAGGCTCACGACTGGCAGAAAACATCCAAACACGTAATCCTCCTTGGGCTTCGCTCCCCAGACCTCCGACGTTTCTAATTTCCTCGGTACGTGACCCACTGAACCACCCGACCGTTTCAGGGGACGAGCTGTTCAATGTGGGTAGTTTGCTTCTTGGAGACCCCAAGGAACGAGAACGGGTTCCAGATACCGGAATGACAATAAAACTCCGCCTTGATTTTGTCCAAGACGGTGGACGACGACGACGACGACGACGAGGACGACGACGAGGACGACGACGACGACGACGAGGACGAGGTCGACGACGGCGACGACGACGACGACGACCCCCGACGACGACCCCGACGACGACGACGACGACGACGACGACGACGACGACGACGACGACGACGACGACGACGACGGCGACGACGACGACGACGACCGACGACGACCGACGACGGCGACGACGACCCCGACGACGACCACGACGACGACCCCCGATGCCGATGACGACGACGATCACGACGACGACGACGGCGGCGACGGCGACGGCGACGGCTACGGCTACGGCGGCGCCGACCGATGACGCCTGGCATCCTCTGGAGGCCTCATGGGGTTTCCTGGGGGTATCCATGGGGTCCCAGTGGTTTTCCAGAGGCCTCCAGAAGCTCGAGCCTGAATCATGCGTGGAATTCTAGAGGATTGTCGGCGACGGTGGCGGTGGCGACGACGACGACGACGACGACGACGACGACGACGACAACACCGGTGACAGCGGCGACGGCGGCTTCGACGACGGCGACGGCGCCCTCGATCCTCCAGCCTCGATCCTCTTCGAACTTTGACTCCTTGATCCTCAATCTTCGAACCTGGATCCTCCTCCATTTTCCATGCTCGAGCAGCGGTCATTCTCGACCGTCTCACCCCGATCCTCCTCGATGCTCTCCTTCGATCCTCAAACCTCACTCCTCCCCGATCCTCCTCGATCCTCCTCGATCCTCCTCGATCCTCCTCGATCCACGATTCCGGCGGCGGCGGCGCGCTGCTCCGCGTTGGCCGCCAGCGGCGCCCCCGCGCCCGCCAGGAGGCGCAGGGGGCCTCCCTGGCGCAAGACGCGAACGGGGCGCCGGAGTGTAACATACTGCTGGTGGGGGGGGGGGCTTGTGGTGATGGGATGTTGGTGGTGGTGGTGGTGATGATGGTGGTGGTGGTGATGATGGTGGTGATGGTGGCGTTGGTGGTGACGATGCTGGTGGTGATTGTGATGCTGATGATATTGATGCTGATGCTGATGCTCTGATGCTGATGAGAAGCTGATGATTATGATGATGATGATGACGATGATGATGATGATGATGAGGATGATTGTGATGATGATAATGATGATGACGATAATGATGATGGTGGTGATGATGATGGTGATGGTGCTGATGGTGGTAATGATGATGGTGATGGTGGTGATGGTGGTGATGATGGTGGTGGTGATGACGATGATGATGATGATGATGATGATGATGTTGATGCTGACGCTCTGATGATGAGAATACTGATGATAATGATGATGAGGAGGAGGGTAAGGACGATGATGATGATGCTGATGATGATACTGATGATGATGATGCTGATAATGGTGATGATGGTAATCGTATGGTGACGGTGACGGTGATGGTGGTGATTATGATGATGACGACGATGATGATGAAGATGATGATGATGATGATGATGATGATGATGATGATGATGATGTTGGTGATCGTGATGGTGACGGTGATGGTGGTGATGATGATGATGATGGTGAGGACAAGGATGATGATTATGATGATGATGCTGATGATGCTGATGATGCTGATGATGTTGGTGATGATGATGATAATGATGATAGTGATGATGGTGATGGCAATGGTGATTGCAATGGTGATGCGTATGATGATGGGGCTGATGATAGCGATGGTGATGCTTATGATGATGGGGATGATGATAGCGGTGGTGATGGTGATGGGGATAGGGATGATGACGAGGAGGCGGAGGAGGTGGAAGAGTGGGACCAAGGTCGAGCCAAGATGCGTCAACGATGCCACAATACACCCTTCCGCCCCAAGTTTCCTCCCTACGCATTCCTACGAGCCTTCTTTTCCACTTCGAGAAGCGCCCCTTCAACAAAAACAACACCTCCTGGTTCTCACGAACAGGCGGGAGCTCCGTTTTGACGAGCTGCATTGTATCCGTCGGGCGAGTGAGAAGGAACGCGCACCAGTATGACCATGCATCTCCATGCTGTTTCTTGCGATACCCCCGTTTTGACAAAGGGCCGCCCCACGTGTGTTTCTCCTGCACAAGTTCCCTACCTAGGCTCCGCCTAGAAGGGTTCTTACTGTATAAGCTTAAAGGGCCGGGCAGTGTTCCACGCCCCGGGCGGTTCCCCCGGCATCCGCCCCGCAGTTCCCCCAGCTTAGCTTAGCTCATCTTAGCTTAACTTATCTCATCTTAGCTTAGCTTATTCATCTTAGTTCAGCTTAGCTTAGCTTAGCGTTGCCTATCTCATCTTAGCTTAGCTTATCTTAGCATAGCTTAGCGTTGCTTATTGCATCTTAGCAAATCTTAGCACAGCTTAGCACAGCTTAGCTTGCTTATCTCATCTTAGCTTATATCATGCTAAGATCATCTTAGCTTAGCTTAACGTTGCTTATATCATCTTAGCTTAGCTTATTTCATCTTAGCTTAGCTTAGCTTCATCTTAGCTCAGGTTCATTCACTACCTAGGCTCTGTCTAGAAGGGTTCTTACTTTATTCCCTACCTAGGCTCTGCCTAGAAGGGTTCTTACTGTGTTGGCTTAAAGGGCCGGGCAGTGTTCCACGCCCCGGGCGGTTCCCCCAGGATCCGCCCCGCGGTTCCCCCAGTTGCGCCCCCGCATAGCATAGCATAGCGCAGCATGGCAGATCATAGCATAGCATAGCATTGCATTGCTTAGCATAGCACAGCGCAGCATAGCATAGCATAGCACAGCATATCATAGCATATTATAGCATAGCATAGCGCAGCATAGCATAGCATATCATAGCATAGCATAGCATAGTATAGCGCAGCATCGCATACCATAGCATAGCCTAGCATACCATAGCATAGCGCAGCATAACATAGCATACCATAGCATAGTACAACATACCATAGCATAACCTAGCATAGCGCAGCATAGCATAGCATAGCATAGCATAGCATGACATAGCGTAGCAGAGCATAGCATAGCATAACATAGCATAGCGCAGCACAGCATCCACTATTGCTGCTGGGAGGACGGAGGAGAAGGAGGAGGACGGCGTTTACCGCTCCTACTAATGTTGTTTTCCTAGAGGCTCCAACTCCTAGGTAGGGCCGCACTGGGATAACTTTCATTATTGGGCACGAGTGTAGGGGAAAAGGTTCGAACGAGAGCCCCATCTTGAAGAAGCGGCTGCCCTCCAGCTGTCCAGTTGCACCATCTTCCGGCATCCTGTCTCCAAAAACCAGTTGGGCGCCGCGTAATGGGGGGGTCATAAATGGGGGGGTGGCGATGGGGGTTCGAAAAGGTACCCAAACGGTACCTAAACGAGCCCCCTGGGGCTCTGGAGGGGCCCGAAAGGGGCACGAAAGGGGACCTTTTCTGACCCCCCCGTTTATGACCCCCCCGTTAATCCACGCCCAAACCAGAGGCCTCGAGCCAATGGCCCAACTCGGAGAGATGTAGCCCCGCCCTCCGTCCGCGCCGCTGTGGCACCTGTTCGAGCTCCTGGCCCTTACTACTTTTACGACGACGGCCACTCGCAGCTGGGATGGGGGGGACGACGACGACGACGACGACGACGACGACGACGACGACGACGACGACGACGACGACGACGACGACGACGACGACGACGACGACGACGACGACGACGACGGACGACGGACGACGACGACGACGACGGAAGACGACGACGACGACGACGACGACGACGACGACGACGACGACGACGACGGACGACGACGACGACGACGCGACGCGACGACGACGACGACGACGACGACGACGACGACGACGACGGACGACGACGACGACGACGACGACGACGACGACGACGACGACGACGACGACGACGACGACGACGACGACGACGACGACGACGACGACGGACCGACGACGACGACGACGACGACGACGACGACGACGACGACGACGACGACGGACGACGACGACGACGACGACCGACGACGGACGACGACGACGACGACGGACGACACGGAGAACGACGACGACGGACGTCGACGACGACGGACGACGACGACGACGACGACGACGACGACGACGACGACGACGACGACGACGACGACGACGACGACGACGGACGACGACACGACGACGACGACGACGACGACGACGACGACGACACGACGACGACGACGACGACGACGACGACGACGACGACGACGACGACGACGACGACGACGACGACGACGACGACGACGACGACGACGACGACGACGACGACGACGACGACGACGACGACGACGACGACGACGACGACGACGACGACGACGACGACGACGACGACGACGACGACGACGACGACGGCCCCCGCGCAGCGACAACACCCCGCCCGCTTTGAAGCACAACCGCCCACCGTCCCTGTAACCGCTGCACGTTTTCACACGGATGTCCGTGGCGCCGGGGCAGGAACCCCACCCTGAGGAGGAGCCGCCCTCGATCCTTGAAGTTGCTGTTGCCGCTTACCGTTTGAGGCGAAGGGGCGCGGCGCTACGGCGAGAGCTTCATTTTTGAAGTTACCAGCACTCCACCTGCGAAGCTACTGCAGCGTGTGAGGACGACAGTGCGCGACGCCACGACGGGCCCCCCATTTCGAAAAGCAACCGCCCAGCATCTTTGTAACCGTCGCAAGTTGTTAAGACGAACGTCCGTGGCTACAAAGCGAGAGCCTCATTGTGCAAATGATCCGTCCTCCATTTTTTGATGGTGCTGCAGTTCTGCTACACGAGTGTGCGCGGCGCCACGGCGAGAGCCACACGTTGAAGCTGGCCAGCCCTCGAAGCGACTGCCGCTGTTGAAAACGAATGTGCGCGGCACCAGAGCGAGAACCCCCTCCATCGCTGTATCCGCTGCAGGCTGTTCAGACGAATGTGCGCTGCGCCAAGGCCAGGGCTCCACGTTGAAATCCGCCCCCTCCGTTGTCGAAGCGGCGAATGTGCGCGGCGCTGAGGCGAGAGCTCCACGTTGAAAACCATCGTCTCCGTCCTTCAAGCTACTGCTAGCTTTTAAGGCGAACGTGTGCGACGCTGAGGCGGATGCCCCATTTGGACAAGAAACCGCCCAGCATCCTTGTAACCGTTGCAAGTTGTTAAGACGAATGTAAGCGGCTCTAAGGCGAGATCCCCATGTTGCAAAGGATCCGTCCTTCGTTTTTGATGGTGCTGCAGTTTTGTTGGACGAATGTGCGCGGCGCTACGGCGAGAGCCTCATGTTGACAATGACCAGCACTCGAAACGGCTGCAACTGTTTCAAACGAACGCGCGCGGCGCTGAGGCGAGAGCCTCATTGTTCCAAAAGACCCCCTCCATCCATGCATCCGCTTCAAACTGTTAAGGCGAATGTGCGCGGCACTGAGGCGAGAGCTCCATGTTAAACCCCCATTCAACACCCCTTCCGTTCTTGAAGCTGTTGCAAGCTTGTAAGACGAATGCGCGCAGAGCTGAGGCGAGAGCTCCATTCCTAAACGACCCCTCTCCATCTTTGAAGCGATTGCGAACTGTAAAACCAATGTAGCGCGACGCTAAGGAGAGACCTCTGCTTTGCAAACGTCCCACTCTTTTTGAAGCTGCCGCAGCTTTCAAGCTTCAGGGTCAGAAGTGGTGAGCAAGCCTCAGGCGGAACGCCAGGCCCGCCCTACCAACACTCCTGTGGGCGCAACAGGGAGGAGCTACGTTTTGGAAGACGGATGGAGGAGGAGGAGGAGGAGGGATGGATCGAGGGTTGAAGGCCCCCATCTCTGAGTCGAAGTGAAGAAGCCACGACAGGAGTTCTTGGGTCGCCAGGCCCAGGCGCCGTCAGAGAGCGGGCCGGGGTGAGACGCCAGCCCCGAGTCGGGGGTCCAGACCAGGGGTCCACCCTGAGATCCCACGCTGCTCAACAAAGTGCAGCATCGCAACAAGGCTCGCCCGGAGCTCCAGGCCCCACCTTTCTGCGTCGCCTCTCCCGAGCCGGATCGATCTGTGAGGGTCCCCAGGGCCCGAGATGGAGCGAAAACGCCCGTTGTGCGAACAAAAATTGCAACGCCAGGATCTCAGGGCACGCTGCGACAAGATGGCGACGTCGGACTTCTGAGGACCTCGGAGGGGACCTCGGCGGGGATGGAGGAGGGGGAAGAGGAGGAGGAGGAGGAGGAGGAGGAGGAGGAAGAGGAGGAGGGGGAGGAGGATGGGGAGGAGACACCAGCCCCGAGACAAAAGTCCAGACCTGGGGCCCTCGTTGCGACAAGGTCGCGCAGACTTCTCGGGGCCTCGGAGGAGGGCCCAGTCGAGACGGCCGCGGTCCCTCCCTGCGTGTTTGTCGTCCTTTTTGTGGGGCTCTCCTGGAGACTTCCCGGCGCCAGGGCTGGCTCCGCTCTCTCTTATAAAAACGGTCGGGATCCACCCAGGGAGGGTCTGGGGATCCATTCTGTGCGGCTTCCCAGACCCCCTCGCGTTGCGACAAAAATCACGACGGGAGGCTTTTCGTAATTTTCGGCCCCTGGGGGTCCTGACTGGGCCTCGGTACCGCCAAAGAACGACGCAGGATGAAGGACTGGTCCCAGGGACGGGTCCGGACATCTGGGGGTCGACGTTGTCACGAAAAATCCTGACGTCGGGGGTGTGGGTTTAGGCCAGGCGGGAGAGCCACCGTGGAGATCACCTGGTGATCGATCGTTTCCTTATTCCTTCGTGTGCCGATGAGCGCGGGCCCTCGCAGCCCCCTCCTCCCCCCATGGAGTAGATCTCGGCTGTTTTTGGCACCTGTCTCGGGCAGGTGGGGGCCAGTCTCCCCCACAAGGCGCACTGCTGCAAGCAGTGGCACGAAGCAGAGGTCCGGAGCCAGAGCCCCCCGCCCCCCTTCCGCCCAGTGTCGAAACGCCGAATAAAACAACGCTCACCTGGCCCTTCCCCGAGGGACGAGCGGCGGAGGGCTTCTGAGTCGGCGGTTGAGCTTGTCCCGGGGACGCGGGCGCTCGTCGGCCTGCTGACAAGGCGTGGGGCCTTCTTTGGGATAACGGGTGGCTTCTAAGGTGCTCTCCTGGCTTCGAACATGGAGTGTCTCAGAAGCCTCGAGGACCTTCGAAGAACTCCCCTGCCATCTACAGTGGAAGCCCATGCCACGAAACACCCTGCTTGCCTTCAGGGTGCCCTGGGTTCCCTGGGTTTCGATCGATGGCTCTGCGATGGAAAGCGTGACGCTCCCACACCAAAAAACAATGGACGTCCTGGGGTCTCAGGCTTGGGTTCTCTTGTGGAAGGTTTACTGTGGTCGAGCCCCCACTGTACCAACACCCCCGCTTTCTTAGAAGCCCGCCCCCCTCGCGCCAACCCGTTGTGCGCCCCGCCACATGCCAGAGGGGGACACGGCACCGACCCAGACCCGCTGGCGCCGTGCAGCGAAAACATGGCGGGAGGCTCTTGGGCGTCTGCGATTCCCGCGGCCCTGAAAGGGGCCCCAGGACCTCACACCTCACACTAATGACTCGTGACGAAAAACGGGTCCCAGCAGAGACCGCGGCGGCCCCAGCGGTGTCGTCGTCGTCGTCGTCGTCGTCGTCGTCGTCGTCGTCGTCGTCGTCGTCGTCGTCGTCGTTGTCGTCGTCGTCGTCGTCGTCGTCGTGCTCGTCGCTCGCCGTCGTCGTCGTCGTCGTCGTGCTCGTCGCTCGTCGTCGTCGTCGTGCTCGTCGCTCGTCGTCGTCGTCGGCGTCGGCGTCGGCGTCGGCGTCGGTGTCGGCGTCGGCGTCGCCGTCGTGTCGTCGTCTCCCCCCCATCCCATCTGTGGGGGTGGGGCGCCGAGTAACCTTGAGACCCATCCGGTCTGGGGGAGGGGGGTGTTGGCGTGGGCCCCGAGCCCGGGATCACGTATGCTACCCCAGCCAGGCCAGGACCTCCTCTTTGCGCGCTCAGATAGCCGCCAATGTTTTTCCAATCCTGACGGACTTGCCATGATTTCAGCCACCGGGAGGGTCCGCGATCGGGCCCAGGGGCCATTCAGCATGGATCATGGACTGCTTGCCCTGGGGAGGGGGGCTGGGTCCTCTGGGGCCACGGACTGAAAGCATCACATCCGCGGACGTCTACAATCCCAGGCGCGAGGGGCATTTGGCTTGAAAGCGACGACGTCGACGACGACGACGACGACGACGACGACGACGACGACGACGACAGCGACGCAGACGGGCGACGATGACGACGACGACGACGACGGCGACAGCGACGCAGACGGGCGACGATGACGACGACGACGACGACGGCGACGGCGGCGGCGGCGGCGGCGGACGGCAGACGGGCGACGATGACGACGGCGACGACGCCTTCCTGGCGGGAGCGGAGGTGGAGATCCCGCCGGTGGGCGCCAGGCGTTCGTGCCTGCGCCTCCTGGAGCGGGCCTCCCTCCTTGTGTTTTTGTTGCCCCTCTCCTCTCTCGGCAGCTGGGGGGAGGGAGGGGGGAGGGAGGACTGGTGGGGCCTCCTCCTCCTCCTCCTCCTCCTTCTCCTCCTCCTCCTCCTCCTCCTCCTCCTCCCCCTCCTCCTCCTCCTCCTCCTCCTCCTCCTCCTCCTCCTCCTCCTCCTCCCTCCTCCCTCCTCCTCCTCCCTCGCTCCTCCTCCTCCTCCTCCTCCTCCTCCTCCTCCTACTCGCTCCTCTCCTCCTCCTCCCTCCTCCTCCTCCCTCCTCGCTCCTCCTCCTCCTCCTCCTCCTCCTCCTCCTCCTCCATTGAGGTATCTCCAAAGCCACGATGTCTTCGACCAGCGGGTTTGCCTCGACTGCGGCCTCCGGGACCCCGCCGTCGATGGCCCCATCGGGGCCATCGGAGACGGGCCCAGGGCGAGACGCGCTGGTCCGAGGGAAGCATGGTCGGGAGCGCCGGGGCCGCACCCAGACCCCCTCGAGGCATGAGAAAATCACGACGGGAGGTTTTTCACCGTTTCCGGCCTCTGGGGGCCCGTCAAGAAGTTAACGGCTGAGGATGAGCCGGTCCCGGGGAAGGGGTCCGGACCTCTGGGGGTCGGCGTCATGAAAAAACATGATGTCGGGGGTCTGGGGATGGGGTGGGCCCTGCTCCTGCTTCTCCGCCAGGGGCAGCGGTTGGTGGGGAGAGGCTCGGGGGGGGGATGCATCCCCAGACATGCTCGCGTCGTTCACAAAATTCAGGACGGAGGTTTTTCGCCGTTTTCGGCCTCTGGAGGCCCTCGCCGGGCCCCGGGACCGTGAAAACGACTCAGGGTGAAAAACTGGTCCTGGGGAAGGGGTCGGGACTTCCAGGGACGCCGTGCTGAACAAGTCAGGACGGCACATGTCTGGGTCAACCCCCGGTCGCCCATTGATCGCCGAATGGGGCCCGATAGTCTCACCTCGCTTCGGGGGCCTATCGCCAAACTCGATCGGCTACGCATCACCGCTGTCGGGTCGATGCTTCCCCCTGAGCCGATCCCCTGTTATCACGTGGCCCCTCGGGGAAGGGCTGGAAAGGGTGGAGAGGTAGAGCCCCTTCGTATTCGACCCCGTGCTTGCCCCCCCGCCCCCCCCCCTCCCCAATGCGGAGCTGGCTTTGGACTCGCGCGGGCGCTCGGGGTTCCTCTTCTCTCCTCTGACCCGGCGAACGGCATGCGCATGGGCCGCTCATCAGCTGCAAGCGCAGCTTGCAAGCGACGGCCGAATGTGCACCGCGCTGTGTGCCCGTGCAGGCGTCCAGCGGCAGGTGAACATGCGGCAGCCGCTGCAGTAGAGTCAAACACGCCCTGTCTCCAGGAGTTCACAAAAGGTGCTGGCACCCGTGGCATCGTTGGCTGTTGGAGCTGGCCGGGGGGCCGCAGGCCTCCCCCCCGCCCTCGTCGCCGCGGCCGAGCGCGGCTTGAAACAACACGTCCGTTTCGACCCCGAGGCCGCTTTCGAGCGGAGCTGGTCCCTCGTCGCCGCGGCTGGGCGGGCGCGGCTTGGAAAAACCCGTCCGTTTCGACCTTCCTCCTCCTCCCTCCTCCTCCTCCTCCTCCTCCTCCTCCTCCTCCTCCTCCTGCTCATTCATTCATTCATCATGAGGCGGACGGTTCGAAGCCTATACAGAGAAGAGAACGAGATGAAATGGACAAAGGAAGTAGAGCACGTACTCGCAGTGGAGTGATGCTGATCCAAAGCAAACCTGGGGTACTGCCTATGGCGCACGAGCCAAGACAAAGGAAGTGCAGAGAGAAAGCAAGGCAAAGCAGAGACCTTCGCCCAGGTTGCGCGGTACTGCCTATGGCGCGCCACACTGCTTAGTGTGACACCTTCGCATTATTATTTTTTAAAGTGAATGGACACTGGCACTGACCAACTAGGTCAGGGCATCGCCTTCATGCGAAGGCCCTTCCCGCAATTCAGCAACAGTCAGTGAGGAAGGGAGGTTTGTCTGAGAAGGGTCCTCCACTGGTATTCGTACCGCTGGGTGGCCGTCGATGCGTGGCCTGCCCGATCGAAGGTTCAAATCTCCGTCGTGTGGTAATGCCAGATATGGATCCAAAGGCACATGAAACTTCCTAAGACCCAGGGGGAGATCCCACCCCTCATCGTCAGTGCGCAGGTCGATACAGTGTCGAAGCGTACTCTCCTCTCGCAGCGACCACTGTAGCGGCCTGGTGTCATGGAATGTGCCCATGGATGCGCCAAGAGGGACACCGCCCGCTAAGAAAACACAAAGCTCGGGGAATCGATCACGAATTTGCTGGAACAGCGTGGCAGCAAGCATTTTGTTCAGGGCTCTGGGATAAGCCTGCGCAGGTGAGGTATCTAGCCATCCACCGTGTCGCTCTGAGGGGACAGGGGGATGTGGGCGATGATTACAAAGTGTCCCCCCCTCCCCGAGATCACTGAGCCAGGTGGCCAACGTGGGAAGATGGACCGCAAGCAAGGTGGTGGGTCTCTTTCGAGGGGCCCCAAAGCGACACTGGTGGATGGTGTGAGTCCGTACCCCTTCCAAGAGACTTAAATCCTTGACCTCAGGGAGAAGCCATATGCTTGGGCTGCCTGGTACATAGTCCGCATGTGCTGGATGGGAGAGGAGAGCAGGAACATGATATTTCCAACACACATATAGTAGAGAGAGAGCAGCACGAAGAAGTTGGTTGCCTGTGGTGACTTGCTTGCTCGCAATCGATGAGAGGTGGCCAAGGCCCCACAAATGCTCTTCCGAACGGAGCGATCTAGTCGCAAGCTTCGTTTCCGACGAATGTTGGCACCTGGCGATCGCCCATGACTCAGCTGGAGGTCCCGCGACTACTGCACAGACCCTTCCCGATCTGATCATATTTGTCCATATGGCTGTGATATGTATGTCTGTGAGATCTCCGAGATGTGTGTCAAGAGATGCATCAACGCGTAATACTGCTAAACGTGCGGGAAAGGAACCCTGGAGCTTCTCGATGTGGTCTTGGAGGTCCCCCTCGTGCCTATGTTGAGAGGAAAGAATCAATAAAAATTTGAGGGGTCTTACGGGGACCCTGGGAGGCCTCTCGCAAGGAGCAGGAGGATCAAGGCTCGGGGCAACAGGTGGGACCAAATCGCGACGCGCTCGCCTTACATGGGTTCTGGGATGAATGGGAGGTCCAGCACACTGAAGCCAAGGCAGAGCAGCAAAGGTCTCTGATCTGCCAGCCCGTCGATTGGTTGCCGCCTCTGAGCGGGCCTCCTCTCTAGCCTGAGAAAGCTCTTCACTAGTGGGTCGATGCCCAGAATCTATCCACGCCAACTTGCACGCTGGCGCATTGGATAAATGTTTCACTAGGCGGGACACGTGACGAAAATCCCTAAGACAAACCTGACAACACGTCCCCGTAGCCAACATGGTAGGGGAAGTGGCAGACTTATGAAATTTACCCATGTGTGCAAGATCTTGATGAGCCGAGGAAGAGACATGTCCACATTCATAGCAAACAAAACGGGCTGCATCAGGGGAAGAAGACGAGGCGAGGGGAGTATGGAGAGCAATAGTGCGTAGAGTATGCTTCCACACCTCATGATGAGCAACGTCATGATAGTATCGATTGGCCTTGGTAATGGCACTGGAGAGAGCAGCGCGGAAGCCCTTCGGTTCTGCACGGACAAAGCGGGGCCAAACGTCGTCATCGATGGGGACTTCTGGACAAAAGAATGCCAGCCACCTGATATCGTCCTGTATATGGGATATCCATCCCTTCGGGTCTCTCCAATTCAAATCCAGGAGTGATCGAAGCACGGGAGGTCCTTTGTGAATGATTCTTTGCACTAATCGTAATCGGCCAATAGTTAGTATGACACGGGTGGGTAGCCTGTGAGTGTCTAAGAACACGCGAGCATTGTTATAATGAAGGTCCGCATTGTTAGTGGCAGACATGCCTAAGGCTACTCGGTACACAGAAGTATGTGCTGTTTGTACTTTACGCCACAGGGAATCAGTCAATCGTGTCCATACTGTAGCACCAAAGAAAAGAACAGAGGAGGCAAGCGCCTCAGCCCATGTGATTTTGCTTGAGGTGGGCAAAGCTTTCCGTGGGGCCACTGTGCTGCGAATAGGTTTTAACGCCCTGGAAGTTCTCGCAACACGTGCGGAGACATCAGGCCCTAGGGATCCATCGGCCGCAACTTGGGACCCGGGAATTTTTTGGACTAAGGCTGTGGGGAAAGTGAAATTCCACTTCGCAGAGGTGATGCCCGTGAGTGCCTTGCCAGGTAAATCTCTGAGAGCTTTGCGAGAATTAACGCCGTTCAATGATACTAAGATTTTGGTTTTGTCGGCATGTATCGAAAAACCTGCTCTGGCGGCGGAGCAATAGACCGTCTCAGCTAAGGAAAGCAGTGTAGTATGGACATTAAGAGGATCAGGAATGGGAGACATAAGGGTCATGTCATCAACGAAAGATAGATCTGGTGACACCACATCCCAATCATGTAGGGAGGACAAGCGGGTGGTCGGTGCGTCATGCACCTCCTGCCATGCAAGTCCAGTGCGTTGAAGTCCGTCACGTATGTCCTGATGCACTAATCTGAACACTGCGTTGAAGACGTCAGTGGCAGATACCGTTCCTGGCCTGGATCCTAGATGGGGAGCCGCAAAGTCTGTGGCGTCGCGAACTCGCCAGAATGTCCCCCCCCTGGGTTTCCTGTACCAACCGAATAAGCTCATCCTGGGGGAAGTGGCGGTGCAACAACGGACCCTGCTGAAGTTGGGCTTTAGCTCCCTGGATAAGATCTTCGGGTAGTGGCAAGGAAGCAAGGGCTTCTTCAAGTCCCTGATCCTCTCCAGGTAAGGACAGGGCGAATTGTTTGATGGTGGTGTAAAACGCCTGAACAAGGTCTAAGCATATGACAGCACCCGAGGTGCGCGTGTGTGAGCAATGTCGGAGGAAGGTCCTGACCGACAAAGTAATCAT